TAAATGCAGTTTGATGCTCCAGAACCTCTAAGTAGTCTGGCTCAGTATGCAGGTTAGCCTTAAGTTCAAAATATTCATTCTTAGTTTGCTCAAGCATGACCTTGCGTGGTCTTGAGTACATAATAGTCTCCATTAGTTTCAACTCTCCCGGGTGCCCCGGGACCTGCATGTCTACAGCTGACTGAAGCTGGGGCATGTTTTTCCTAAGGTACTCTGTTATTCCAAGCTGCTGCAGCTCTTTTTCCCTCTCCAGAATATTTCTGTACAAGGAGTTGGGATTCCCGAGAGTGACGAACTCTGCAGGGCACTCTCCAGTCATGGGTCTGAATTTTGAGCTTGGGTTTCCTGTCAGAGGAGAAGTGTTCTCCTTCTCCATGATGCTCCGGCAGACGTGGTGCTTGGTGTGGGGCTCATCCAGGCTGTAATCCAAATCTGTATCATGTTCCCTGTGCTGGGAGCAGTAGGTAGGGTTGCGACAGATCTGCACAATGGGACTATGTGATCTCTCCTCATACAGACTGCTAGGCCCTGTTCTTTGTGTCAGAGTTTGGTGTGTAGTTTTCTGCCCATACATGCTGTAATGTAAGTGAATGGGACTACTGCTCGTGTTTTCTCTGGGCTGCTCCTCTGCTGCTTTTTTCTTTGCCCTTCTCCGCCGTCGGTGGACCACAAATACGACCAAGCCAGCTGAGCAGAAGATAATCATGAGCACAAAAACAAGTAGGCTTAAGATGAGCACAGAGAGCGGGACAGTGTCTGTGAGAGGGCTGAACAATCCCTTGCCACTGCTGTAAGGCCTCTCCGTAGCTGTCACACTTTCGTCCCCACTTGGGGACATAGGGTAATTGGTCCCTAAACCAGGACACAGCACCTCATGATGAAGGTTTCTTAGCTCAGTCTGCATCACAGTCTTTGGGGTGTGACACAAGATGGAACCCACCACTGTGTCCTTTCGGAGTTTCTCCACCCACTGTTTGAGGCTGAGCAAGTCACAGCTGCAGTCCCAGGGGTTGTCCTCTAAATAAATCTGCTCCAATGAGTCAAGTTGATCAAGTACATTGCTCACTGGCAGGTGCATAAGTAGATTTTTCCTTAAGTTTAATTTGGTGAGGGGCACATTGCGGAATATCTGAGCTGGAAGAGAGCTGAGCAGGTTGTTATTTAATGACAAAAGCTTCAGGTTTGGCAGAGGATTAAATGTGCCTGGAGCAATCTCTTTGATAAGGTTGTATTCCAGATACAGGTATTCAAGATTGTGGAGCCCCACAAACATTGTAGAGAACAGTTTCTCAATTCTGTTTCCATTCAGATACAGTTTTTTCAAACTGCTCAAGCTGAGGAAAGTTTCATTATCAATGTAATCAATTCTGTTGTTTGCCAAATTGAGCAATTCTAAACTGTCATACGTGACAAAATCATACTTTAAGAGTTTCTCAATCATATTCCCTGTCATGACCAGCTTAGTGGGGTTTTGGTGAAGTATTCCGATATCTGATACCTTTTGAATTCCTCTGTCCTGACAATGCATCAAAAACCCAGCCACAGGGTGATTGTGACAAGAACAGTGTTCCACACAAGGGCTGCCAGGAATGTGAGACGGTGTCGTAGCCCTGGCGTCATCTTTGGCATTGATCAACTTGGGAATCTGAGACACTTTTGATGAGGGGGTAACAACCATATCCAGTGACTTTGATGGCTCCTCCAAGTTAATATCTGCATGGGATGGGCACAGAACATCCCGCTTGACTTTAGCCAGAATGGTCCCCTTTAGATGATGTGGTGTGCTGCAGACCACATCCCCAATTGCTGACTGGGCCCTCATGTTCTCCATCCAGATTTTTAAATGTAAAATATCACAGTCACAGACCCAGTCGTTGTCCTCCAGGAGAAGTTCCATTATGCGCCCGATGTGCTCCAAAAACCCTACATAAGGCAGTGTTTGGAGCTTGTTGCCACGTAAGTCCAGGTGGGTGAGGGGCACAAACCGGAAAATGTTGCTAGGTAAAAACTCAATAGAATTATCATTGAGGATGAGGACCTTGAGGCGGATCAGTTTGTTGAAGGCCCCTGGTTCAATGACTCGAATGAAATTTGTGTCAGCTTGAAGAAACTCCAAATTCACCAGGCCTTGAAAAGTGTCCTCTTTCAGAGTGATGAGGAAATTGCTATTAATATGGAGCTTTTTCAGTGAACCGAGAGTGCTAAAGACCCCTGGCTCCAATTCTTGTATGCTATTACCCCCGATGTGCAGTGAAAGGGCATTTTTAAGCCCTTCCATTTCCTCAGCACGAAGCTCAACCAAGCCATTTTTGTAAAGGTTCAGGTGGAAGGGCACACCGGGCGGGACTTGGATCTGGGAGAGTTTGTTGATGTTTCTCTGCTCGCAGTTAAGATGGAGGATGCCATCTTTATTCTCACAAGAGCACAAGGAATCACAAGACTCACTAATAGAGGATGATGCCTCTGAAGGATGGATATCTTGAGACTGGGACGCAGTGAGAAACAAGATGAGGAAAATGATACAGGGCAGCATTTCGGTCTGAGATATCTGTAAAGAAAGGATAGAGGCATGGGCAGAAGGGGTAGGGAAGAAAAAAAAAGAACATTAAGTGTACATGTTGTGAAAAAGTTGATACAAATTTAATGTATAGTTCTGTATAATCCTTCTATTTAGTAGTCTGAGACTGTTAAATGATAGTTTCTCCTAGTGAGAGACTAGAATGGGAATTGATATGCATTACAACAGAACTGGCTGTATGTAATAATACTTCTCAGTTTCAAATGTATATTTGTAAAGCAATTCTTTTTAAATGTTTTACCTCTATGTGGCCTTTATACTACTTAGCAGTGCTATGTCCTGTGTGGGCTTGAGGCATGGCAGTTATACTAAATGTAGCTGCTCATGGGAATCCTAATAATCCATAGAAAACAGACATCAGAATCCACAGTATCTACCCAGACACTGCATTTTACCACTGAGTAAATACATTTCACAGAATGAACAATAGAACAAGTCGGAATCTCTTTCCAGTGACTCACAGTGGAAAAATGGTACATTAAAAAGAAGAAAAAGTCTAATTTGACTGGGTTTTCTGCCCTTTGTCTGAACAAAGTCTTACTCATTGTGAGTCATACAAAAATGAAGAAGTCAGTTTAGTTCATTTTATGTCTGTTACACTTGCATTTATAACGGGATGTTTTAGACAAAAGATTGATAATGAATGGTTTTGTCTTTACTGTTTGACCAATTAACTCTCATTCAACTGGACTGAAAGTAAAGTGAACTCTAGCCAAGCCTATATTCATCAATCAGATTTCTTATACCGTTCATATGATTGTGTTGTATCACTTTTCCAAACCATCTTCTCTGCACAATGAACCAAAGCGTTTATGAAGAGAATTCAAACTTCACTGTAAGTAGAATTTATTTTGAATGACAAGGGTAATGTTGAAATGTGATTTTAAAGATGAGAGGCCTCAGCAGCACTTCTAAATCCATTACATTAATTTGACTAAAATCACAATGGATCAGAGATGACATCAATCTCAGAGGACTGGTGGAGAAGTCATGGGCAGAGACATCTTCCCTTGATCAAGGAGAACTAGATATCCACCCTTAACTACCAGAATTCTTTCTGAAGAGAAGAGATGTATCATGATAAGAAAAGATGGCAGGAAGGTGCAGCTCTTCTTGTTAACGAATCTGATTATCATCTAAAAACTTCATTCTAACAAGCCTAGGCAAGTCTGTATTCGTCAGAGATCGAAACCTTTGACTCATGATCCATATATAAGTGGTACTCAACTGTCTTTTGTTGTAAGTTCCAGAAAAAACAAGTCCTCTCTATTGAAAGTCTGTGAGACGTGCAGCATATTTTCAGGGAGCGTTTGAAATTACCTTTGGCCTAAAGCAGGTAGTGTGGCCTAAAATGTGGTTTGGAATGTGAAATTGGAGTACTCTGACTAAACACAAACAGAGCGTAATCCTATACTAATCCTTAGCGTTAATGATACAGTAGATCACTGTAGTTAGATGAAAGTCTGGCCAGCTCCACACACATGTGAAGAGACGACAAAACTTCACAGACAAAAGCTGAATTTGAAAGAGTCATTTGTTATGTCACTCTAAACTCTTCTCTCTTTTACCTTTTTGCCATAATACATGTTTTTGGCTTTTGAATAAAATCAAAATTGCTGATGAAAACCAAGTCAGCACTATCTCCATTGTATTTGATATATTCAGGCAGTGTATCCCAAAGTCACTCTAAACTACCCACAGAGTTGGGTTCACAGTCTTCAGACCTGAGAAACACTGAAATATTACAGAGAAACCCAGAGAATATCAAATGCTCACCATCACACTGTAAACTTAAACACGCTTGTCTTACCAAACGAAAATACATAAATAGACAAGTCACCATTAACATAATCACTAACAATCAACCTACAGAGTTAAATAAAGGTTAAAAAACTAAATGTGTTAATAATCCCTTTTACTAATTTCTACTGGGAATCACCACTGCGTGTGACAGAACACACCAGAATAATAAACTGCATGCTCTCCCCTCCAGGGCACATCCAGTGTTCTGACTCGGCCTGTGCAGCAATACGACAATGATAGGGAAACCCATGACTGAAACATCCAGTAACTAGAAACTGCACAAAAAGGGCAATGCTTATCAACTAACACCTATTTTGCATTTAGGAAGGACATTTTTCATTTTATCTTGATCGACATATGCATTTCATAAAGATACAGACCCGTAAAAAAATATTTTACCTGCTGTTATGTTGCTTACATTATTTTTTTTAAACTATAAAGCATGTAGGCAGATAGACTAAACTAAACTAAACTTATTGTTTAGACAGTGATAACATTCAGAAAATGGCTCCCAAAATATCTTTGGAACATCTTAGGCCATTTCCTTTTTTATCTGTATTTGCCCGTTCAGGAGTTTGGTGGTGGTCATGGTACCCAAGGCGTTCACCTCTGTGACCCTGATGGCTCGTGACAACGCGAAATGAAACAAACACTATTAACAGATGTTATCACATATGCGTTATAACACTGCTGAGGGCAGATATGGAAAGGCATAAAAAAAATTGTATATTTCAAACAGACTCATCTAACTGATCCATTTTTCAGACAATCAATGTTGCATGGGGCTCAGCATGACGGACACAGGAGATGAAACAGTCCAGTCTTCCACTGGGCTCTCTTTGCAGATTCAGATGTGCATCTCTGGCTGTTCAGATAATTCAATTAGAGATCTACTGAAGCCCTATGAGATCTCCCCTCATGCAAGTGAGTGAAGCCAACTAATAGTCTAACATCAAATGCGATGAGTTTAAAAGTACAGAGCTGAGGGAACAATGGCAGAGATAAAAGTGTAGAAGAAAAATCTGTTGATGGAATATTCATTACACGTTCAACCCTTCTACAGGAACAGGTGCTGTGATAAACACAAAAGGCTTTGGCCACTTAACAGACCCATAAATAGCATGTTCACGCTATATTTGTGCTAACTACTACTACTGTATTGTTACATTATGCCCATCACAAGACCAGTGCTCCCTCACGAGTATAAATTCACATCAGTGATAGTCTCACACAGCCAAGCTATGACTACACTGCCACACACATAGAGACAGGTGACAAATTAAAGGAAAAACCTGAATGTTTGACCCCTAGAGTGAGGAGATCCAGGTGCTTTGCTATGCTGCAGGGGTCATGGTTTGGGCCCCACTTGTTCCCTTAGAGAGAAAGGTCACTGCAAATCAATACAAGGTTGTTCTGAGTGATCCCCTTTAGCTAAAGGGAGTTTTCTTCTGTCTTTACTTCCTTCACAGTGATCCTAAGTCACATTCAACTTATAAACAGTCCTGCAGCTGTCAACAGTTCAGTGTCCTGCTCATGGACACTTCAGCAGCCAACATAACAACAGGAAGTTAGGAACCACCAGTGTACCATTAACTGGTGACTCATATATGTAGTGTGAATAAGCAACGGAGCTAAACAGGATACATCTCATGTCTCTTACAAGATCTTTCCTGTGTCCTCCACCCTCGGTTGACCAAAATGACTTCTGGGTCAACTGAGGATGTTTCAAATCTCTTGTATTGGCTTTGAGGACTGAGGATGGTGCTGGAGGAGCTATGACTGAGGAAACACAAGACCACCCTAAGCAAGGTTTTTGTGAACTGACATGCCCCTTTATCTGAAATCAGTTGGTGATTGGACACTCCAGACAAAGGATCTGGGGAGAGGACATCCCATGTCCTTAATAACATGTTTCCTCAAGTCTTCTCCTCACGTTTTCCTGCATCTTATGTGGTCAGGACTAAGACACAAGGAAAAGACACAAGTGAGGGAAACAACAGTGTTTATAGCACATGAGATGTACTCACAGAGTATACTGCCAAGCATTTGCTGATGAACTCCCAGCATGCAACTGTCACTGACAAACATACCATCTTATTCCTTGCAGCTTTAACTATCAGTCTATCTTGTTTTCAATATGAATGCAAAGATTCTGACTTTGACAAACTTCTGGAAGACAATATTCTCTATACATGTAAAACTCTAGGGGCTGCACTGAACATGTAATCTTTACTGATGAGCACAATGCACATCTGCTCTTGCTTCCCACTGATTTTGCACAGTTCATGCGCCAAATAGCAAGTTTACTGCAGTTCCACTTATTTTTATCCTCTTTACATTTAACATAGTTTGTAGTGTATTGACACACACATCGGAAAAACAACAGATACAACATGAACCTGGAATTGAGCTGTACTCAATAGCCTGCACATTTTCCATTTAACAGTTTAGGACACAATTTTTAGATAATATGAACACAACTGTAGTCACATTCTGTTCTCGTCACTGTCAAAGTAAATAGAACATGCTGCAGCCACAAATAGCCCATAAGCTGGAAGCCTAATTCCTTTTTCTGGAGTGTGAGGCAACTTGATGTACAAATATGAAAAGCGTGTTATCCCTAGTGGCACCCAACAGATACAGCCATTTTCCCAACTCTGTCAAAACTGATAAAAGTCACTGTGTATTTGTGTTTCAAACATTTTGTGTGGATAATCCAAATTTTCTTGGATTTCAACTTGTTTTAAGACTTAACAGCCACTTCGGTTCTTAGCATTCTGTATTCTGTGTCCTTAGTCCTGCTCATTCCTAGGCTACCTGCCATCATGGGAATTTTTGGATCTGGACAACAGGGAGGTACATTTTAATTCACTGAAGTGTGAGCCTTCCCTGTCAGAATTGTAGTGTTAAATATACTGGTGTGTCATCTACCTATCATGTCTAAGAGTTGGAATGTAAATGTAATAAAGGATTAAACATGATGATGCTGAAGTTACATTTACATTCCAACTCTTAAAGGATTAAACATGATGATGCTGAACTCCAAGCAGGTATTGTTCTTCAACTGAATATTATTGTTGGACTCATTAGTGGAACTAGTGTGGGAAACTCACAGTTTATGCCAAATTATGTCTCAGAGTAGGTTCCAACAATGTGTGCTCTTAATC